TGATTGAGGCTTTTATAAGTTTGAATAATTGTAAGGTAATCTTTCTCTTTTCTCATACTGTGCAAATCTTATAATTAAAGAACATGGGAGGCATTTCAACGGCGAAGAACTTCATACCATTTGGAGGAGGGAATAGGACATGTGCAGGCGCAGAGTTCAGCAAGGTTCTGATGGCAGTCCTTTTACATGTCTGGGTTACCAAAAATAACAGGTTTATATCTTTATTATATCTAAGTAAAATTTGTACTTTTATGATTATTTACTTATATATCTAGCTACTATATATAAAGTATATCTAATATAGTGTCTTTCTTTTTTGAATTTTCAATATAGTTTGACAAGGATCAGAGGAGGAGAGGTGGCCCGTACACCGATTTTGGAATTTACAAATGGTTTCTTCGTTAAAGTTTCAGAAAAGCAGCCATGACTTGTTGAATAATGCATCAGATATCAAAGGATAAAAGTAGACATATAATCGTTCTCTTAAATAAAACTTGTTTGGCTGCTATATAAGTATTTGTGTTCCGTATGTAGACCGCAGTCTACAATTTTCTGGAAGTTTAATTTTCTTAATTAGCAATATTTTCCTTCGTTAAGCTATCAACTGGTGCTGCTGTATGATTTATATATGACAACTTTCATATGGTATAATTAAGTTCTCAGTGTTCATGGTATTCGCTAAAACTTTTGGGTGACAATTTTAGAAATAGCAAAATAAGTTAACAATGGTTTTAATCTAGGATTATCATCTATTACTCGAGGGAGTTAAAAGGAGATTTTAGATTCCACAAACAAGGTCAGAGGATTGTTACATACCTTAATATAGCATATTTGGTATGGGAAATAGTTAAGCTATTCACTCTCTATTCTTATGTATTACTTATTCTCTTGTTTGATTGGCAAATGGCCCAAGAAATACGTACTCTCTTGTAATAGTTAATGGTTAAAATACCCACCCAGTCTCTTTATTCATGCATTTTATTCAATTTTATCCCTGTACTCAAAATTAAAATAATTTAATTATTTGATTTTCGAAATTGCTTCAATTTAACCTCTCTCCCTAATGACATTCGATTTTGCCATTAAAAAGATGACGTCAACGTTAACATGGCTCTTTTACTGATGTGATGTCGACATAATGGCATGACAGTGCCATGTGACACCGATGTGATGATGTGGTAGTGTCACGTGGTAATGTTGGTGTAGTACTGACATGCTGATTAAATAAGAAAATATTAATATATATTTCTTAACACCATAAATCTTTTACTTTTAAACATTTGACTTATTAATAAGTATATGTATTATCTACTTAAATATTTTTATTTTTCAAATATTTTGTAATTTAATCCTTAAACACTTCAATTTTATTCAATTTAATCCCTGCATTATAGATTT